GACACGAACGCCATGAACCAGCTCCGGGGGGGGACACGAACGCCATGAACCGGCCCCGGGGGGGCACGAACGCCATGAACCAGCTCCGGGGGGGGACACGAACGCCATGAACCGGCCCTGGTGGGGACACGAACGCCATGCACCAGCCCCAGGGGGACATGAATGCCACGCAGCCGTGCAGCCGCCCCGGGGAACACCACGCACCTCTCGCGTCCGTTCTAAGCGCGATGGCCCGAGCCCCGCACGCCGGGCAGAGACAGGGCAGAGCCCATCAAACCATGGCGGTGGGCCTAGCGTAAGGCACGCTGAAGGAACAGACCCAGCGACAGAGCAGGGCACAGCAGTGTACAACAGCCAGAGAGGAACGAGGAGAACGCAGGGAAGGAGCAACTGGATGCGAGAAAGGACCAGCACAGGCATCAACACTGCTCAGCCGAAGAGCTCAGTATCACACACGAGGGGCTACCTTGAAAGAATTCCAAGTACCTTATTTTAATTTCCTGACATGGCAAAAGTTTACATACTTTCATCCTGGCAAAGAGAGCCAAACAAATTAAAAGGAATCAATACAAAGAAACACAAGGGGAAGTGCTGCTCCCAGACAGCAGCTAGAATGCAGTTGGTTTGTTACTGAATGTTTATTAGCGGGAAGACCAAGAGCTGACTTACTACAAACAACAAGAGCAGAGTCTATCGCAAGGGCCAGCGGCCCTCCGCACTCTGGGCAAATCCCTGGGAAACCAGCAAGAGACAACATGGCTCTTAGATGTGGAAGCGGAAGAAACAAACAAAAAAAAAAGTAAAAAAAGAAGGGGAGAAAATTCATTCCGTTTGTCACTGTTGTTACAATGAGGTTAATACAACTATTAAGGCTACTGCACAATAAGAATATAAGGGTGTAACAGCAAGACCCAGGAAACAGCAAGGTTCCTGAAACAAATGATTTCAAGTTCCCCGAATAAGGAACTTCAGTAGAAATTGCATAAATAAGAAAATTTTGGAGCCTGCAGCGTTATGGGCCCACTTGCCACACACAGAAACTGACGCAACGCAACCAGTCATTTCCAAAGGGGTTTGTACTGGACCATGAAACGTTCCGGCGGCTTAGAGGAGTCACCGGGCACACGAGCGTGCCCTCTGGAGGGAAAGGCTCCAGGGTTTAAGTGGCACCAGGCGGGTATCGGCCACCCTCACCCCCAAGCACCAGCTGCGGTGGCTGGCCTGCTCTGCCCAGGCAGCGGGGAGCGCTGCCAGGAGACAGCGGGCTCAGTCTGACCATGTGCGGAGACCATCAGGGCTTTAGCATCGGACCTCCGGCCCCCCCTTCCCTCAGCCTGGGCAAAAGCATCTCGTGCTGAGGGAGCACTAGGACGTGTGCGAAGTAACGTTGGTTTTAGCCAGGAAAGTGGCTCCAGTCAAATCACAAACAGAAGCAGAAGCCTTTTTTCGGGGCGGGCGCTGCCGAGTCAGAAGAACCACAGCAGGCATGCAGACCGCCCGGCGGCACTGGAGCGTGGCCGCGGCCACCAGCCCGCAAGGGGCAGGTTCCCATCCTCTGCAGCCGGTCAGCGCAGACCTCCGGCAGCGGAGGGGCCCTGCTACAGCCAGCAGCGAAGAGCGAGTTCCTCCGCTGCTGCACCCCCACCCGGGCCTGCTCCCGTGCTGAAGACTGTCTGCCCTGCTCCCAGAGACCCCAGTGAAGCCTCCAGCCAAGAGGTGGGACGGGACAAGGGCTTGGTCTCTACTGTCGTTCCTACATGGGTAGGAAAAAAGGCATGAGGGAATGTTCCTGCCTGGCTGGTGCTCTCACTCTGCAGCAGCCCCTAGGGCACCCCAAAGCAGCACAGCCTTCTCGTTACCAGTTACTAGAGGGAGGGAGAGCTCCTGAGACCTGAACAAAACCAATCACAAAACTAGGCGAGAATTTCTTTAGAGTTTAACTAAGAATGCGATACTATTTCCAGCCAGTTTCCCATCTCGATAGTCACGTAACAAACCAAGGCAATGACGGTCTTTAGTTGACTGAACAGTTCTCGAGTTCAAACGTTGACACTTAATAGAGGGTCTCAGCATTGCTGCTCCGAGGCCTCTTGATCTTCTCAATGTTTTTAAGGATCATGTCATGCAAAGTGACCTGCAAAAAGGGAGAAAGGGACTTAGACAAAAGGATGATGTCATCCAGCGTTCAGCTTTTCCACAACGAGCACTGGTTAAAACAGCAGCACAGCGCAGCTCGGCTCTACCCTCAAGCCCTGCGTGCAATCGCACACCCAGCTCAAATAAGGGCTTCGCTCAGCCACACTTTACAGAAGCCACTGCACGTAACACCAGAAAGAGATTTCTCTGCAGACCCCACGAATGGCTTGTACTGCATGAAGAGGTTGGGATCACAGGTTCCCACAGAGGTGGAAGGAATATTTTGCGCTAGACTCCGGTGACGACACCTGCATCTCGAGGAAGCGGTGGAGAGGCAACAGTCGCCTCTTCTCGTGAGAGCCAAAGCGGAGTGGGGAGGAGATGGGCTGCTTGCCGGGATGAGGGGTACTCACAGGGCAAGGGGAGAGCAGCAGGGTCAACAGGGCTCCCTCCACTGCCGTGCAGGGAGCCAGTGCGAGCTCTGGTTTTTCACTTACATATTGATTCCTCAGCTCTGAAATGATCAGGCGCAGACTAATGTACTCCTTCTCGTCGATCTCTGTCACCGTGCGGCGGTAGTCCTCCTAGGGAGAGCAGACGCACAGCTGAGTGGCCCGAGCTCAGTGGTGCCTCCCACACACCACGGGACGGTCCTGCCTTCTACAAAGGAATCCCCCCCTCAGCCTGCTCTCCTCTAACGCAGGTGTCCTGCATCCCTCTACAATCCCCACTTTCCCCCTGGGACCCTCCGCTCAAAAAGGACAGTGATGAAGTGGCCCAAAGAGTCCCAAAAAGCAGCAGCATGTAACATGTAAATCTCCACTCCCCCTTTTACTTACCACGTGAGGGTACTTAGCTATTTTGGAAACCAACTTTGCTCTTGTGATATAGTATCTGGTAGAAAAAGGAAAAGACTAAAGGTCAGATAAATAGCACCAAGATTTTTTTCAGGCCCAAGCTCCCTTAGAAAAGCTGGGGGACCTTCCCCAAGCACTTTACTTTTCCCGAGTGGATCCCAAAAAAAGAGGTCTGTTCTTGCACGCCTACCTAGAAATCTGGTCCAGGTAGGACGCTGCCTCACTCTCCACAGTCCGAAGCTCAGCAACTGTTTCCTCCTGCAGGGAAGACAAGGAAGCCATTAGCTTCATGAGACTGCAGCTGGCCTTCAGGGCTCTGAAACCAACATGTCTCAGCAGTGCCATGTCAAGCTCATGTTTGGGTTTTAAAACCTAAACCCACCCCATAACTGCAGCTGCTGGATGCCATCAAATGAAAGATTCAGAGGAACCCAAGAGATCCACATCCCTGGAGCACAGCCCTCTCCTGTGGCAGGGCACAGAGCCAGTGGTGCCTTACCTGAATGGAAACACCAAAGTTGTTTCCATCTTCTATCCTGGGGATGAGAAGCTGCACCCACATTTTCACCTGCGGTGGAAAGGTCACAACATTGATCAACGCCAACATCTCCACAGAGACTTCTCTCAAACTTTCTAGCAAAGGCCCCCAGGACCCTGCCTTTGCCATGCAGTTCATGATAAACTCCTCCAGGACCTTCATGCTCACGCAGCACTTCCCACATGGCTGGGACACCGCACAAGGCAGCACAAGAACAGCTTCCTATGGGAATCTCTTATACTGTGCCACAGAAGCTGGCAGCAGGCAGAGACTGTGCAAAAGGAGGGTGAAGAAAAGCCTCAAGGAAGGAAGGCCTATGTGACAGTCATCATCCTCCTTCAGGAAGTGAAGTACAGAGCTCCCCAAGAGCTCAGGAAAACATTATTTCCCTGCACCTACCTCCCAGCCACTTTCAGACACTGCACTACGAATCCTGCCTTTCCTCACCTACAAAATCCTTCCACTCCGAGCAGCTTTGCCTCTCCAGGAGCAAAAGCACCCTGCTGTCTGCACTTGTCCCAGCACTCATACCCACCGTATTACACTTCTCAATAAGCAGCCTGATTTCTGGTTTCACTTTCTCAATGATGTCCACCAGCTGCTGGTTGCTCTTCAGCATCCCGTTGGGCATCACGAACACTTTGGTACCTAGCGGCAGGGGGAAAAACGCCTTCCATCAGCACGCGGCAGAACGGCTGCGCCAGGGGCTCAGACTGCAGGTCCAGCTGAGCGCCCATCTCCCACAGCAGCTAGCACTGGGCACCGAGCAGGCTACAGCTAACCTGTGGGGAAGGGCAAATTCGACATGGGATAACAGCAGTTATCACAAAGGAAGGAGACGAGAAAACACGGAGCGGAGACGAGAGCTGAAGAGCTCTAGGCTGCTGAGGCTGGGCACAAAGGATTTTCCTGATGCACGTGTATGAGCTGTTTCTGCCTCAGCTTAATCCAAAGCCTGGTACCTTCCTCCAGACAAGGAGAGTTTTCAGCATAGAGCCACAGGGAGATCAGCTGCCTCTGCCAGCAGGCCAGGCTCAAGCAAGTACTACTTATGCCTATCAGAGAAGTCCTAATTACGCCTGTAAGAGCTGGAACCTGACTGCTCCACCACAGAACGTCCGTAGGTCGGGCTTTGAGCGGTTGCGGGAACAGCCCTGCACGAGCAGCAGGCGCTGTCAGGACAGGGCAGGTGGGGTTCTGTGGTTTCATACTCCTAAGGCACGGTGCACTGGTTCAGAGGGCAGGCAGCAAGACGTGAGACTTGGGGACTCTTACCCTGAAAGGTCTCTTCGCGGTCTTCCAGCTTCCTCTTTTTCATATTTGGCTAAAATATACAAAATGTTTTACTCACAAACCAATCGTAAGCTATAACAGTGTTGTAAAGGAAAAAAGGAAAACTTTAGAGGCTCTGCTAAGCTCCTGGTTTCTACGCATCCTTCTTTAAAAACAAAGGAGCACTGCAGAGTACAGCGTTACCTCCAGCAGACTTCCCAGGCTCGAGAGACCGATTCCTAAAAGCCTTTGGGAGAGCCATGGCAGGTTATCAGGTAAGAATATCCCACTCTGGCACCGAGCAAGCCACGTGGTTTTAATTAACAGAAGTAGGGATCACGGCCAAGAGAGTAACCTTACCCCGTCCAGTCCATCATGGCTGTTTGTGAGAAGAATTGGGTCAGGCACTGGGAGGTTCATGTCCGAATGGATCTGAGTGAGATCGTGAATATTCAGGATAGGCTCCTGGAAAATCAAGCAGATTTATTATTTAATTATGATCCAACAAATTCTGTCACACCGAACACAGAAAGAAGACAAAAGATTCAGACCTCCCTCTTATCCAACTATATAATAAGCATGAATTACAAAAAGGTTTAACAATAGGCCTGTGACGGGACCTCCCCCCACCCAGAGACGGCGTGCCAGCTCCAGACCGTGGCCAAAGCTATCGCCTGTCTGCAGCGCCGGAGTCCCTGTGAGACCCCAGCCTCGCGACGGGCAGCCGGGCGCTGCCGAACACGTCAGAAGAAAGATAAATGTGGCGATCACACAAAGAAAACAAAAAAAAACCCCAAAGC